TTTTTACCAAATAAGAATGCAAAACAAAGAGCTCTGCGGGGGACAGTAATATGTCACATACCGGCCAGCCGACCAACCAACCAGCCATCCAACCACACCATTTACACAAAAAAGGACTTTATATGGACACTTTGTGGTAATCGTATCGTAGCTTAGAAATGCTTAAATAAACTTTTTTACCAATTATTTTGGGTTTTGTTCATTGCTTTTCAGTTTCAAGAGAATTATAAATGTTGTCATTGTTGCTGTTGTAGTTTGTGAACGATAAATAGATAGAGAAGGATTTCACCATGACAATTTTTTTTTGGCTCTAATTACTGGAAATGCAAAAATTACAGTCAATATTTGGCAGATATTCCAAACATGCATAGTAATAATAATGTATAAAACTGAATAAATGAGTCGGAAATAGCATCAAATTTTAAAATAAATTTAAATTTGTTCGAATTGGTCACCTTTGGCACGAATTATGGCCTTCAAATGGCCAATGAAACCGTCACACGCTGTCCGAATGATGCTCTGCGGTATTTTGACCCATTCCCGGCGAAGCTCTTGCTTGAAGAGATCGACACTTTGGTATTTCTTAGCTTGCTTTCCAAAAATACTCCAGACCCAATATTCCAACGGATTGGTATCCGGAGATTTTGCTTGCCGTTGGAAATGAAATGAGAAACCTTATTTTGTAACCATTCTTGAGTGGCACGTGCTGAGTGCGAAGGTGCTGAGTCCTGTTAGAATGTCCAAGTTCTGCGGCAAAAGGTGTGCGGGCCTAAGGCTTTAATACACCTCCGGAATATTTTCGCTTTAATATTCGGAATTTATTCTGATGCCACGGTCGATTTATACCAACCGAAGGTGCACTTTTCAGCTGACCTCTTTGGCAAGTAAACACGATCATTTTGTTTGTTTACAAACTGCTGGACAACGAATGTTTTCTCATCGGAGATTGAAGAAAACCAAATTCAGCAGTTCACCACTTTCGGCCAAGCGTAGCAACTCTTTAGCTCTTTTGAGTCTATTTTCTTTCTGTTGCGGTGTAAGTTCTTACACTTTTTGGAGTTTCAATGGCTATACCCCGAGCTAGTTTTTTCAATATATGCCAAATGGAATATTGCGATATGTTCAGCTTACGAGCCATTTTTCGCCGACTGCGATGCAGGTTTCGATCAAGTCGCTTCTTTACTTTTCGAACCATTTCTGCTGATGTTGCTGTTTTCTTCCGTCCACTTCCTTGACGTCTGGTTACGTCGGGTTTTCCAGCCAAATATAAAGAAATCGCACTATCACGCTTGAATTCCATCACGAATAACTTTTTTTCTGGAAAATACTCACCAAATTGCTTTTATACGCTTTTAAACATTAAAATAACCTGTCACTGGAATAATTTTAACAGCTGTCGGACGAGTGGCTTAGAAATGACAGCAGTCTGGCGTTGGTTGCAGTTTTTTCATCTCACCCTATGTACGTAAATTAAAGATGAAGAACTTTTTCCTACAAAAAAATCCTTACCCATCCTCTTTAAATGTTAATGTAAACTGCAAGAGTTTACTAAATTGATTAGTGATGTCAATGGCGCTAATGAATTTGCTGGTTTGCATTTATTTTTCTCATTTCTCTCTCTCCGACTCTCTCACAGAGTTTACGTGTGTGTGTCTGTTTATTTCTCTGTGGGCAGTCATTTTTGTTGGTTTGTTTGTTTGTCTGTCTATTTGTTTGCATTGCATTAACAATGTTTATTGCCTTAATGACTACTCGTATTTAGCGATTTATATTTGAATGTAAGACCATTTATTGTTTATAGTTAAATTTATGTAAATTAACCTTCACATTTTTGTAACTAATTCGCTTGAAGCGATTTGCTGCGGTTGCTGTTGTCGTTGTTTTTGGATTTTTTTATTATGCGCCTTTTTGGTTGCCGTAGCTAACTTACCATTTTTGCATTCTCAATAAAACATGCACAAACGTAGCAAATGGGATTTGGTTTGAATGGATCGATGGATGGACGGACGGACGGCCTGCCTGCCGTTTATTATCATTAGTCAAATGAATGGATGACAGAAAACTTGGCACATTCCTCTATTCGTTTCAGCTGGTGCACTTGGTCCGTATGGGTAACAACGAAAAAAAAACACGCAATGGAATCCACCTGAGAATAAGGCTCTGTGTAGCAGGCAGCACAGCAGCCAGTGTGTCAGCAGCTGTGTTATGACAATTATTATTATTGGTGTTGAATATTATGTGAATATGTAAAATTTGTTTATGTTATAGCTGGAGTGCTTGTGGCTGTTTCGTTTTTGAAGATTGTTCACACACACACACACAACGCAGATAGGTATTTTCAAAATATTTATTTTTTACACATCCATATTCACATAACTAGCAATAAAATATTTAGTTAATGTATTTTGTGGCAGTTATGTGTGAACGTAACTGACAACTGAACGCATTGATCTTTAACCTCAAATTACGGGCATATTATTATAACGTTTTATTGTTGTTGCTGCTGCTGGGGGGTTTGACACAAATATTTTATGTTTTTTAGTAATTACAAATGTAATAATTACTATTATTATTGTTGTTGTTGGTTTTTATTAAACAATGGTAATTAACTTGTTGTTGTTAGGGTAGACTAAATGCCAAAGAACAGATTTGTGGAACAAGTTTTTAACAGATCACAATCAAAGCATGCAATTGCTTTAATAACTGAGTCACTTCCGGTATTATATTGAATTATGACAGGCCATTTTTCAGTTTTTTTTTTCTTATTTTATTGTGAACATCATTAAAAGAAAGTATCCAAATATATATTTAAAAATTGTTCCAATTGTTTTAATTTTTTTCAAATGCTCCAACGAAAGTGAAAGAATTAAAATAAACAAACAAATGTAAATAAAGCACTACAAAAGACCGCTACGAAAAATAAACAAAACGTCTCGCTTTAACGGACAGAGAACAACAAACAAACAGATCGCAGATTGCAAATAATTTTGCCAATTTGTTTGAGAGCGTGAGGAAGAGAGAAAAACGGTAATCCCAAATTGCTCTCTTTATTCAAATACTCTTATGGGGAGAGATTGTTAGTGGACAACACAACAACGAGATCTTTTTGTTTTTTTTGACGGATATGACGTTGTTTACAGTGTAATTATTTTTATAGTGTAATTATTAACTTCCGTTACCGTGCTTCGTATGACGCTCTCGACAAGATCACTAACACACACACACAACAATGTAATGGTGGTGTTGATATTTTGCAAGTGATTTATTATGGTATAACTAAATCGCTCTATTTGTTTGCATTGACTGTTTTATGAAGTCGTTTATAATATAAACAAAACAAAAAAAAGAGCCACAAATAAGAATTTTGTCATTTTGTATGTCTTGTAGCTGTGCGTAGGATGGATTGCCAAAAAATAAATAAATATTTTGCTACCATAAAAAGCATTTTCCCATATACGTATGCCATAACTCTACTCTCTTTTTTATTTATGTAGGCTTACATTTTGTGTCATATATGGTTGGTAAATGCATTATTCTTTGTTTATATTGGATTACTTTTTGTGTGACTGATATGGTTTTATTGTTTTTTGTTTATGCTTTGGTGTATTTAAATGATTTTCTACCTAATTAAGCTTATTTTGAAATTATGTTGTTGTATTTAGGCTTGTCATAAATATTTTCTAAGAAAGTCTATTAATGAGAACATATTTGTTGTAAAAAGTGAGAAGCATGTCAAACAACGTGCGTGTGGTCAATATTAACGGTCATTTTGTATTTGAAAACCGTTGTTATTCACAAAATGCATACAAAACATGACAACAATTTGTTGTAATTTTTATATAAACCAGCCGAACCTACCAGAAATATGAACAGTTCTCCGAAGTTCTGGAGCATAATTTGATAATAAAAAACATTTTCTTATTTGTATTGCTGCCCGACTAAATACCATGAAAACGAAAGAAAAAACGTACAAGTGCTGCCAAGTTACATGAGTAAATCTTATATGATTTGTGCGCCATCTGCTGCCAAAATCACTAGATGCATTAGACGGAAGAAGCCAATTGTCAAAATATATATTATTTATATTTATTTTATAACAAGAAAGTATTAAAATGGCAATAAATTAATTTAAACAGTTGGAATGACATGTGCAACGGAAGAAAACAATGTACAATATTCTATTTTTTACACATTACCGCTGGTCGTTTGTCGAAATACATTATTGAGATTTTGAGTATAAAAGTAAATTTCCAAAAAATTCTCAATAAAGTATTATGTTGTAGGTCCTGGGGATGGATTCTTGTTCTATGAAAATATGAAATGAAAAATATTTCCTTTATAAAATTTTTCGTTTGAAATTTCTTCCCTTTATAAAAGTTTTGATTTCACATTTTCATAGAACAAGAATTGAGGCCCTGGAATACAAGTTAAAAAAACTCCCCGTTTAATTGCAATAAAACATAAATTGTCTTATTTTATTTCGTAGACTACCTAATATATAGACATAAGTCATACGCCATGGATCCACGCTTTCAATTTGTTGTTGACATATCGATAGTCTTCTTTTTGCAATTTTCACTACGCATAAGAGTTGCCACCGATTTAAATCGATTAATCCAATGTCGACTTACATATCCCTACTCTCAGTCGTCAAATAGAGAAATCAGAAAACAAATGTAAATTTCTCTTGTGCTCTTTACACAGAACGCAGCCGATGCGTATTTACGGTCGGCGGCGGCTATAAGTCAACTAAAGCGGTGAGGGATCGTCGACTAAGCCCATATACTCACAACGCCTGCAAACAGTCATCATAACTAAGGCGTGTTAGTTTTGTTTTTATATTGTATGAACACAAATTTGAGATTTACTCCAGAAATGTAAAAATATTACACCGATAACCCATGACATTTAGTAAAAGCCGTTGGAAATCGCTTACATCGGCGACGGCTCAATCAGACCAAACTAGTCGGCGGCAGTTACGCGCCGTCTCCAAATCAGTCGGCTTCGGTGTCTTGATCTTTACGGGATGCTTGTTTTTTATTTTTTATTTGCACAAAAAAAGTCGTCAAGCAGGCACGGACTGCCGGACTGCGCCCGAAAAAGTTAAATTTCTTTGGATGATATAGAATTTTTTTTATTTGAAGTGCAGTGAGAAGAATGTGTACATACCGAAAAATAAATAATTAAAACAAATAAGCTGCAATGAAAGTGAAATGAAACGAGAAAACAGCAAATGAAAATCAAAATCCTGCATTATAAAGGAAAAAATCAATCCGTGTGTATAATAAGAGAAAAGAAAATACAAAAAAGACGGGCAAAAGCAGTAGCAAGCACAGAAGCAATTTGTTGTTTGTGGAAGAATAAGTAAATTAATAGTGGTGTAGCAACAAAACAAATGGCAAAAAAGCAATAATAAAGTTGCGTTAAAAAAAAGAAAAGAAAAAGATGCCAAAGCAATACAATTCTTTAGTAGTGAGCCAGGCAGCCAGCCAGTCGTCCATTGGCTTATAATTAATTGAAATTGATGCGAAATGTTACTGTGTGCTTTTTTGTTTATATTCTAATTAATAACGTTGATGATTTTTTAACATCACCAACTGAAGCAGCAATAGCAACATAACATCATTGCTAAGGAGGCAGGCAACTTATGCGCGACTAGAAGAAGCAGCAACAGCAAGGCGTCGACGGCGGAGCAGCATCAAAATTAAATACATACTTCTTGTTGGGTCCAAGAAAACAGACGGAAAACGAAAAACACCAGCTAAACAGACTGGCTGCTGCTGATTTTTTTTGTGAAAAATGAAGAAAATGTGGTGTGAAAAAAGAAATGTGCTTTTGTGTGTATATTTATAAAAAAATAGCAACAACATTGCCCCAGTGAAAGAGAAAATAGCATTCCAAGAATAAGAGGTTTCAAGAAACAAAACAAAAATAAGAAATTAATTTTTTTTACCAGGAAAATTCTCCTAAAACGTAATCGCGAAATTAATTTTTTTTTACCAGGAAAATTCTCCTAAAACGTAATCGGGTTTTTTTTCGAAATACAGACAATCGATCTTTGTTTCAATGGTCTGGTATTTATTCTAAGTAAATGATAATAGTTTGATAACCAAAATTCCAAGGCATTTGCGAAACGAAGAATAGAACGACGTCGACGACTACGTGCCACACATTGTTCCTTTATTTTGTTGCAACGAAAACGACAAAAAGTTTTGACAGAAAACCAGCCACAGCCCATAATAAACAAAAACAACAACCACAACAACACAAACACTAACATCATGTCCAGCTGGGCCGAACGGGTTCATCGTCGTGCTGCCGACTTCAGCAGTGTGGTAACATCATGTGGCCATCCAGGTTCATCGGCTCCCACATATCCCTATCGCATGGAAAAAGTTAAGTTTGGTGTACCCCTCGACGAGGTGTGCAAAAATGATAACATTCCAGGACCACTATTGGTCCTCATATTGAAACTGAACAAGGAATCACCGAATCGCCGTGATGTCTTTCGGGCGCCCGGCCATCAGGGTGCCATGAAGAAACTGATACATTTCCTCCAGTCCGGACGCCTGGTCAATGTGGACAACTATTCGGTGTACACCATAGCCAGTGTCCTGAAGAAGTTCCTGCGAAAAATACCCAATGGAATATTTGGTCGTTCGGGCGAAAATGAACTGTTTGCCATTATTGAGCTAAGCAATGAGGCAGAACAAAATGAACGTTTACACAAGTAAGTTGAAAAATATTAGTGGGTGTTTTTGTTTGATTTATTATTAAGGTATTTCTGGAAATTGTAGGTCCCTGGGAAGTCCCGTGATATAAGGGAAATATTGGCGTTTCTGACAAAAATGTTGTTTGGTTTTTTGATTGTGTCTCAAGTCTTCGCAATAATTTTTGAAAATATTTCTGAGTATCTTTGCATGATTCTTTGATATAAGAGGACCCCATTGAATGGTTTAGAGTTATATGCGTGGGAACATTATATATACGTCAAACAGTACCAAAAATGTCTGAAAATTATAATTTTTATTTGGACGAAATGATATTGAGCTGTGACCTTCAAGACTCCGTTGCAAATCATAGAACAAATTGTACAGGGCATACCTAGTACGGATTGCTCTTGTTGCAGCAGAAGAGACTAAACTTTCAATGCCTTGAGATCATTGCAGCAGTAAGAATCGATTTTGATTCTATGGACTAATTTGCTCTTGAACTCTGAACATTGTTGAACATGTCACATAGAAAAGTTGAATGCTTTCCAATAGGTTATGATCTACAACGTTTTCGATATGGGTTCCTGGATATGTACGAGTCTTATCACATTCTGTGACAGCTTTAGGGTTACTACAGTAGCAGGAACTTCTTGATATAGTAATTTGAAATTGTAATTGAGTAGCTTTCTAAAATGGAAAGCCTATCGGAACCATCCACATTTACTAGTTGTGGCAAAAAAGCTCGCTTCTATACAGATCCGCTTTGATGAACTAAATTGAGATACAGGCTCTCTATAAAATAAAAAAACGTCTTCATTGTTTACCTGGTACGAATACGAATTTACCAATCACTAACTAAGTTGTTCATTGGAAATTCATAGTCCAACCGTAGTGAAGGATTTTCCAAATGTTCTGTATTATAACTACCTGATCCTTGACCCCATATTGGGTTTTTGACATTTTACGATTATATTAAGTGAAGGGAGAACACCATAATGAAAATAGGAAATACTTTAATACAAACAATCAAGCACCATAAAAAATGTCGTGAAAGTACATCGAAAGATTGTCATTGTGATGGAAAAACCTCAGTACACAGACAAAATATTTGTTTACGTTTTCATGAGTTAAAATTACAATTGCGAACAATTTGGCAATATGGGTAAGATCAGCTAGTCTTATCTTTTGGTCTTATGGATGGGCCATGCAACTAATGAAATGGGAAGCCCTTGGTACGGGGTGAGATAAAAAAAACTGCAACAAAGTCAAACGCCATCACATTTACATGTTTTTTAATTTCATTGAATGAAAGCAAAAAATGTCGGAAATGGCATCAAATTTCAGAATAAGTTTAGATTTGTTCGAATTGGTCACCTTTGGCACCAATTATGGCATTCAAACGGCCAATGAAACCGTCACACGCTGTCCGACTGTTACTCTGCGGTATTTTGGCCCATTTCCGGCGAAGCGCTTTCTTGAGGTGATCGACACTTTGGTATTTTTTAGAGCTAACCTTGCTTTCCAAAATACTCCAGACACAATAGTCCAACTGATTGGTATCCGGAAATTTTGGTGGCCATTGTGCGCTGAAAATGAAGCGAGGAACCTCATTTTGTAACCATTCTGGGGTGTCGCGTTCTGAGTCCCGTTGGAATGTCCAAGGTCTGCGGCCAATGACAAGGCTTTAATACACCCTCCAGAATATTTTTGAGATAATATTCGGCTTTTATTCTGATGGCACGCTCAATAAATACGAGCAGAGAGGGACCATCGGCTCTTATGGCGGCCCATACCATCACCATGGCCGTCGCTTGAGTTCTGGTGGCCAACCGAAGGTGCACATTTTCAGCTGATCTCTTTGGCAAGTAAACACGATCATTTTGTTTGTTTACAAACTGCTGGACAACTAATGTTTTCTTATCGGAGATCGGAGTACACCAAATTTGGCAGTTCACCACTTTCGGCCAAGCGAAGCAACTATTTAGCTCTTTTCGGTCTATTTTCTTTCTTAACAATTTTAACAGCTGTCGGAAATGACAGCAGGCTGAAGTTGGTTGCAGTTTTTTCATCTCACCCTGTAAAAGTGGACTTGTAACAAAAAATGTACAGGGGAAGAAGTTGTCTGCCAATAACTCTAACCACAAATTAAAGCTAATTTGGTAATAAATTGACTTACGAACCCACAGAAATGTGCCCAAGTATGCATTCTAGCTTGCATTTTTGATTATACTTTTAGTGTACCTTCAAAAGGGAGATTTAATAGTTTTCCTTTTCTTCGAGAAACAGCAATGCACTCTAAGTTGTCTTCGCAAATATAATATGACATTTCTCACAGAGAAAACCCCGTGATGCATTTCTAAATAAACCATTTGCTTTTTAAATTTTGGAAAAATGAAATATATTTCGGCAATTCCAAACAAAAATAACCTCCCAGAGTTATCAAATGCCTTCACATGGCGAAGAAAAACAATCTAGAGCGGAAATACAGTAACATAGTTACTATCTAGCAGCTATTGTTTTCCTTGTTTTTGTTCCATTTAACTAAATGTGTGTGTGTTTGTGTCTACAATTGGCAAATGTGCAAATATATACCTACAACACGGTATATCTACCTACTAAAGAATATCACTTATAACAACAACAACAACAACCACAACAAGAGCAATGAAGAAAAACAAATACAAGTTTGCACTCATAGCCAGCCACACAAATAAAACCCAACAAGCCAGAAAAACTGGAAAATTGTAATGGTCGCGCTTCTAGTTTTATGTCTGTTTTTTTTTTTTTTTTCTGTTTCTGTTTTCGGTTTTTAGTATTTTACTTTTCGAGGACACATCATCTGCAGCATAGACGAGTGCGCGCGCTCTCACCAAAAAACAAAAACAACAACAAAACAAAAATCATAAGATAGAGAAGACACGTAGGCGCGCTCTTAAGGCTTATGCTGCTGACTGGCTGGTTGGTTGGCTGTCTGTCTGATGTTGCCACTACCACCACCGGCTGTGACTAGTTGGATGTTTTGTTTCTTCTACCATCGCTTCGTCTTCGTCTTCATCATCATCATCTTCATCTCTAATGTGTCGCCATGGTACATATGGTTTGGTTTTTGGTTTGGAAAATTGAAATTGGCATATGGTGACTGCTCTGCAGTACGTATAATCGACAGACAGTCAAACCAGCCAGCCATCCAGCCAGCCACTAGATACCAATAGTACGTTTGTATGTCTATAATAATGGTTTAAAGTCAAGTTGGTAATACTTTCAAAAACAAAAACAAAACCAAAAAGCATTTAATGATGAACAAGAAAATCAATCGTCAACTTTCACATTTTGAAATAATAGTTTAGAGTTTTGTGTTGCTTGTTGTTATCCTCGCGCAAAACAACTTTCCACTTGTTTAGAAAACTTTTGGCAGATATTTTTTTTGGGGCGAAATGCAGCTCTAAAAGAGTTAATGAAATGGAATTCTATGGGAAAATTATATTTCTGAATAATGTAACTAGAGTCCATAGCTACAGGGTGAGATGAAAAAAACTGCAACCAACTTCAGACTGTCATTTCTAAGCAACTCGTCCGACAGCTGTTAAAATTATACCAGTGACAGCTCATTATATGGTTTACAAGCGGACAAAAGCATTTTGGTCAGAAATTTCCAAAAAAAGTTATTCGTGATGGAATTTAAGCTGTAACGAAACCACAAGTGGCTTCTTTACAGCACTCCAGCATTTAAATGTGAATAAATCTTTTGTGTCTCGCACCATCGCTCGTTACCGTGATACAGGTAGCGTAGCCCGACGATAAGGAAGTGGACCGAAAAAAACATCAACATCAGCAGAAATGGTTCGAAAAGTAAAGAAGCGACTTAATCGAAACCCGCGTCGCAGTGGCCGAAAAATGGCTCGTGAGCTGAACATATTGCAATATTCCATTCGCCAAATATTGAAAAATGAGCTCGGGGTAAAGCCATTGAAATTCCAAAAGTGCAAGAACTTACACCGCAACAGAAAGAAAATGGACTCAAAAGAGCTAAAGAGTTGCTTCCCTTGGCCGAAAGTGGTGAACTGCCGAATTTCTCTGTCCAGCAGTTTGTAAACAAACAAAACGGCTCGTGTTTACTTGCCAAAGAGATCAGCTAAAAATGCGCACCTTTGGTTGGCCACCAGAACTCAAGCGACGGTGGCCATAGTGATGGTGTGGGCCTCCATAACAGCAGATGGTCGCTCTCCGCTCCTATTAATCGTCCGTGGCATAATAATAAATGCCAAATATTACGAAAATATTCTGGAGGTTGTATTAAAGCCTTGGGCACGCAAACGTTGTGGCCGCAGACCCTGGACATTTCAACAGGACTCAGCACGCGCCACCCAAAACATGTTACAAAATGAGGTTCCTCGCTTCATTTCCATCCCACAATGGCCACCAAAATCTCCAGATACCAATTCGTTGGGCTATTGTGTCTGGCGTATTTTGGAAATCAAGGTTGGCACTAAAAAATACCAAATTGTCGATCACCTCAAGCAAGCGCTTCGCCGGGAATGGGCCAAAATACCGCATAGCAACATTAGGGCAGCGTGTAAGGGTTTCATTAGCCCTTTGAAGGCCACAATTCGTGCCAAAGGTGACCAATTCGAACAAATCTAAACTTATTCTAAAATTTGATGCTATTTCCGACATTGTTTGATTTCATTCAATAAAATTAAAAAACATGTAAAAATTATGGCGTTTGATTTTGTTGCAGTTTTTTTATCTCACCCTGTATGTAACTGTGAGTGGTGAGCGCAGATGATGCCCAAAAATGCAAGAGCTTGACTTGCATGACATGTGGTCTCAACAAGACGGTGCTACAGAACTATAGCGATGCTGCATATTTCAGACATTTTCAAGCTCCTGGCTACATCCTCCTGCTAAATTGATTAATTGATGAATTGATTAATCACCAGGAGAGAAGTCAATGAATAAGAATAAACTGATAGCTTGTAGTAATAATGTTTTTTCCACCCTGAATTTGAAAATTACA